TGCAGCTGAAGATGGAGTCAGGTACAGTTGCGACAGCTGTGACATTCAGATACTGTTAAATAATCAGAAAAAAATCAGAAAAATCTGAATTGTAAGCCCCCCTGATTTATTAGCCCCCTGTTTATTTGTTACTCCATTTTCTGTTTAATGGAGAGATTTTTTTTTACACATTTCTAAACATAATAGTTTTACTAACTCATTTCTAATAACTGATTTATTTTATCTTTGCCATGATTGCAGTAAATAATACTTGACTAGGTATTTTCAAGAGACTTCTAAACAGCTTAAAGTGACATTTAACAGCTTAACTAGGTTCATGAGGTTAACTAGACAGGATAGGGTAAATAGGCAAGTTTTTGTATAAGGATGGTTTGTTCTGTTGGCTATCAAAAAAAAAATATATATATAGCTTAAAGGGGCTAATAATTTTAATCTTAAAATGTTTTTTAAAATATTAAAAACAGCTTTTATTCTAGCCAAAATAAAGCAAATAAGACTTTCTCCAGAAGAAAAAATATTATCAGACATACTTTGAAAACTTCCTTGCTCTATTAAACATCATTTGGGAAATATTTAAAAAAGAAAAAACATTTCAAAGGGGGCTAACTATTCTGATTGCAACTGTATATACATATACACACACACACACACACACACACACACACACAGTTGAAGTCAGAATTATTAGCCCCCTTTTGAATTTTTTTTCACACTTATTTTTTTATTTTAGACATGCCTTCTCATTCATTTTCAAAATGGATGCACATCTTGGCATTTCTATTAAGCATTTATTTAACGCGATAATCCAATATGTGCATAAAATACCTGGATGCTAACAGAGATATTGATATACTACTCAATACTGCAGTCTATTAGAAGACTTTTAAACTTTTATGATTTAGTTTATTTGTTGTTGTAATCAATGTCAATGGAGTCACCATATATGGTTATTCAAGCTTGATGCATGTTATTTACAGTGCTTCTCAATTTTTCATTGCAGTGACTGTGAGGTTTTCCCAAAGAACCATGCAGCACCTTTCTCTAAAGTGTTGACCTTTTACCGGAGAGAGCCATTTACCTTGGATGCATACTACAACTCCCCTAAAGAGCTCCCTTATCCAGATCCCACAATAGGTATGCACACACTCACACTTCAGAAGTAAAAATGTGAAGGATTTTTTTTAAAACTTGCAATAAATTGAACAAAAAAGAACAAAAACCAGTGTAACATAGTCAGTAAAACTTTATTTTGATGGTTTAGTTAAGAAATTCTGTTAAGGCGATATTTCACCCCAAGAATTTCACCCTCATCATTTACTCATCCTCAAGTGGTTTTAGACCTTCTTTTGAAGAAAGCTAAAAAACTGTACCCACTAATATTCATAGTTGGAAAAACAAAAACAGTGGAAGTTAAAACTCTCCTTCTCTCAATAGACAGCAAGGGTTGGTAGTCAGCAAGTCCCTAGCGTACATTTTTTTCCTTGTTGAAATAATATGTAACTCGTGGATCAATCCATTGAATCGACCCAAAGCGACAGAAATAAACTTATAAAAGAAATATTTTATATCAGTGTAAAATAGTCTTGTCAGATGAAGAAGAGCCGGAGTCAGAGATTCAAATAAAGAAAGTTTACTGAAGCTAGTTTGCAGTTTCATCAGCAAAAGCCAGCTTCAACACTCGCAATGAGTTTGTAGGCCGCTCAGCTTATAGTCTCTCAATTATACTCTTACATCACATCCATTAACCACGTCATACATATAGGTGTTTTAACCTGGTTAAAACACAGATGGACCACATGTGTGCATGTGTACAATTTTGAAAGATATCTCAATATCTCAAGCATACAAACGTCAGACAGCCAGAAGGCTATTTACAGCTGACCCCAGACCTGATCATCCATAATCAAAATAATCCATAATCAAATAAAACACACACACATAAAGTACAATCTGTTTCTTACCCAAGGCTGAGTATACTCTCAGACGTCTTTATCGAACTGGTTAAAAACCAGTATAATCTACATCCAAACTGGCAGCTTACATACAAAGGAATTACCTTTAAAAGATTTAACACATTAAATGGATGACATAATTAGCACATAGCAAATAACAATAGGAAAAGTTGATTTCAATTCTTCAAGAGTCCACGTCCACTTAAGAGGTCTCCATCACCTCTGACCTAGCTAAGTAGGTCCTGAGGAATCAAATTATTTGGCATACAAAAAAGCAATCACACACATATTATTCCAGTTTTACTCTGAAGTGGAATTACACTAAGGTCATCATATAATCTAGGCTCTTAAATATTCTACTTTATTAATAATCATAAAGACATAAGAAAGGATGTGTTACAGTTCCTTCAGGGTTTAGCTAGAAAACCAAAGAGACACTTTTTTTTGTGTGTTGAATTTCTAATATGATAGCTTAAAGAACAAAATCTAGTTTGTTTGTTTTGTTTTTTGGCAGGACCTCATGTCATTTTACTGAGAGTTTAGCTAATGAATCTGTGACACAATGACCTGCTGTAAATAAAAAAGAACTACAACAAAGTAATTCTGTTACTATAGAAACAAAAATATATTTCATGAAACCTTGTAAAACACATGTATCTGAATTGGCATTCGCCAGTGCTACGGTCAAAGGTGGCAGATATTTTGAGACCTGCAAAAGTTCTTTTGTGTATACTGTTGGATCTTCCCCTAGTCCGCCAGGTTCAAAGATCAGTCAGAGACTTCAAAAAAGTTGAAATTAATTTAACGAATCAAATGGATAAAACATACAGGGCCCTGGGTAGCAGAGAACAGCAGCACAGGCCGTTGTCAGCTGCGCACCCCCCCACCCCCCAGTTGTCACAAATGATCTGCACAGAAAAAGTTTTACACACACAGAACACACAAGACAGAGCCTAAAAGAAAGAATTATAACATTTTTCTGATAACAAGTTCTCTGAATTTAATTTTTTGGTTATCAGTCACAAAACCACAGCTGTTATGGAGCAAGGTTTTATGAGGTGAAGCACACAAACATGAGTTCATATACTTTATTAAAACAGGATTCAATTATTAATGCATAAAACAAAGTTAGAAAACATCATAACTACTTCAATACTGTCAGTATGTAAAAAATAAATAAACTAAATTTCTCTGCAGGCCAGTATGTTGTCCAGAAAGTGGTTCCCCAGGCCTCCGGTGAGAGTTCAAAGGTTAAAGTGAAGGTGCGAGTGAACATTCATGGCATCTTTAGTGTTTCCAGTGCTTCACTAGTGGAGGTGCAGAAATCTGAGGAGGAAGAGGAGAGCATGGAAACCGAGCAGAGCACAGAAAAAGAAAATGAGGTACTGAGTGCTTTTTCTTAAACACTAGCTGAAGTACTCATGAAATGCCGTTTCATCACAGTTCTAAAATGATGCAGAAGTGGGTGTCTTGAAAAATTAGGCAAAGCTTGTTTTCATATGATGTGGACACGCCTCATCATAAATATTTAAGACATTAACACAGATTTTCAGTAATGCAATACACTCACCTGCCACTTCATTAGGTACACCTGTATAACTGTTTTTTTACGCAAAGTTCTAATCAGCCAATAACATGGCAGCAACTCGATGCATTTAGGCATGTAGACATGGTCAAGATGATTGCTGCAGTTCAAACCGAGCATCAGAATGGGGAAGAAAGGTGATTTAAGTGACTGAACATGGCATGTTTTTTTTGTGCCAGACAGACTGGTCTAAGTATTTCAGAAACTGCTGCTCTACTGGGATTCACACAACCATGTATAGGGTTTACAGAAAATGGTCTGAAAAAGAGAAAATATCTAGTGAGTAGCAGTTCTGTGGGCACAAATGCCTTGTTGATGTCAGAGGAGAATGGCCAGACTGGTTCAAGCTGATAGAAAGGCAACAGTAACTCAAATAACCACTCGCTACAACCGAGGTCTGCATCTACAATATGTCGAACCTTGAGGCGGATGGGCTACAGCAGCGGAAGACCAGACCGGGTGCAACTCCTGTCAGCTAAGAACATGAAAACTGAGGCTACAATTCGCACAGGCTCAGCAAAATTGGACCATAGAAGATTGGAAAAACATTGCCTGGTCTGATGAGTCTTGATTTCTGCTGCGACATTCAGATAGTAGGGTCAGAATTTGGTGTCAACATCTTGAAAGCATGGATCATCCTGCCTTGTATCAACGGTTCAGGCTGCTGGTGGTGATGGTGTAATGATGTGGGAGATATTTTCTTGGCCCACTTTGGGCCCATTAGTTCCAATTGAGCATTGTGTCAACGCCACAGCCTACATGGGCATTGTTGTCCATCCCTTTATGACCACAGTGTACCCATCTTCTGATGGCTACCTCCAGCAAGATAATGTGCTTTGTCACAAAGCGCAAATCATCTCAGACTGGTTTCTTGAACATGACAATTTCACTGTACTTAAAATGGCCTCCACAGTCACTAGATCTCAATCCATTAGAGCAATTTGGCATGTGGCCGACAATTTTACAGGAACTGTGTGTGATGGTATCATGTCAATATGGACCAAAATCTCTGAGGAATATTTCCAGTACCTTGTTGAATCTATGCCATGGAGGATTAGGGCAGTTCTGAAGGCAAAAGGGGGTCCAACCTGATACTACTTAGGTGTGCCTAATAATGAACATGTCATGAGTGCACTTCAGAAGATTGTTAATAGTTATGTATTATTTAAAGTTATTTATTACAAATAAATTTAAATATTTATTTATTTAAAGAATACATTTAAAGAATATACATACTGTTATATTGGTGTCCATCATGGTACCAAATCCTTAAAGACTTGATGGGCAAATTATTTTCAAGCTGAAATATTACACGTTTCTTGCACTGGCCTACAACATGCACAAGATATTGATTGAATATGTTCTGATTCTTTCCATTTTTTTTTTACTTTAATCAGTTAAACTTGTACTAATCTTATTATTAATCTATTATACTATAATATTATTAATCTTAGGTGATGTTAATTTTTAAAAACTAAATGAATTAAAAATGGTAAAATGAGCTTATTTCCAAATAAATGTTTTGAGCTTACGACAATATTGTGATAAAAGCTTCTGTAATTTTAACAACTTAAAACATGAAAAACACTATCACTATTTAGTTATTTAAATAGTAATTATAACACTATTTATTTAATAAAAATTTATTGATTCTAACATTATAATTAGAATATGCAGCAAAGATATCTATGTTAAAATCTGTGAACATGTAGTGCATCTATTATTTCATGACTCTTTAGACACCTTCACTATTTTTATTGATTTATTCCTCAACATTAATGTGTTAGTTACATTTTGTTCTACATCATAGGTCTAATATTTTGTCATTTTTGTGTCACCACCATATGTTTTTGATCATTCACAGAACAAAATGCAGGTTGATCAAGAGGAACAAAAGACTCCAGAGACGGAACAGGAAAATGGCGAGAAAAAACCTGGAACTGAGGAAATGGAGGTAAAAGATTCAGTGACTCACCAATTCAATGAGTTTGAGTCATTTGATCCAAACACCTACATGTATAACAAGCTGCGAATTACAATTTGTTCAGACCTCAGCAGAGGAAGGCAAACAGGAGAAGAAATCAGATCAGCCTCCCCAAGCCAAGAAGCCCAAGGTGAAGACAAAGGTGCTGGATTTGCCCATTGAAAACAACCCGCAGTGGCAGCTGGCCAACGACATGCTGAATCTGTTCGTGGAGAGTGAGGTGTGATATCTCAAAACTGGATTATGGGGGAAATGTTTTTAGCGCTGAGTTAATCTACTGTGAAATTCCTTTTCCTCAGGGTAAGATGATCATGCAGGACAAGCTGGAGAAGGAGCGCAATGATGCCAAGAATTATGTTGAGGAGTATGTGTACGAGATGAGGGACAAACTGCATGGCATATTCGAGAAGTTCGTCACTGAGAGTGTGAGAGCAGTTACATGCCTTCATCTGCATGCTTTCTAGCACCAGGGCCTGGGTCCAGGAAGAAAGTGTCTTGGATAAAAAATTCTGAAAAGTTTATTAACAAGAAAATATTTAAGATATTATTTGAATAGGTCTGAGGAACATTGAAGTGACCTGGTATTTTTATTTTACTTTTTGGGTAATGTATGAGGTGTTTAGAACAACATTCAACTGCAAGCTCACTATGTTATTATTGTTCAGACATTTTGTTGATATCACTGTCAGTAAATGACCATCTTAGTGCATAACATTCTAATTTAGTTTAGGTTTATTAGCAATCTGTTTGTTATCTTTTTATTATTAATATTATTTTAGTCATTAAATAATAATATAGTTACTTTATGTATGTAATTTTAGCAGGCCTATTTCGGATTTAGTAAAACCTTTTTAAATTTAGTTTAATTAAAGCAAAAATTTTTTGTTTTGTTTTTCATCTTAGTAACAGAAAATGATCTTTAATCATTTTAGTTGTCAATAAAAAATAATGGGGCTGTTTTCTCTTACAGGACAGAGATGTTCTCTCATTAAAACTAGAAGACACTGAGGTCTGGCTGTATGAGGATGGAGAAGACCAGCCCAAACAAATATACATCGACAAACTTGCTGAACTGAAGGTAGTAAATACCTTTTACATTTTACAATATATTATTTATAGTAGAGGTGCCGAAATTAATTGACTGTGATGCAGACCTGCACAATTTGGTATCGGTTCAGTTCCTAACCGGTTATTACACACTGAGTTTATTTTATTTTTTTATATGTGCTATGTCGCCATAATAGTATGGTGCAGAAGGTGAGCACAAGTAATTAAAATGCAGAAACACTGCACAATTCATTGGACACTCTGGGCAGTCATTCACTGACACTGAAGTTACAGCAGAAGCCCCTATTTAGGGCTGGGCGGTTTGCCCTAAAATCCAAATCCCGATTAATCTAGCGTTTTGACTCTATTATGATTAATGAAAAAACAATACACGCGATAGATAGATAGATAGATAGATAGATAGATAGATAGATAGATAGATAGATAGATAGATAGATAGATAGATAGATAGATAGATAGATAGATAGTAGTAAAAAAAATTATATTTATATATAATAATTAAATAAAAGATTAGCAGTACATCATATTATTCATTATATCCCATTAATATTTTATAAATCATAATATTCAATATATCACATTAATATTTAATATATCATATTATTAATACAACTCAATACAAAAATAATAATAGATCAGAATAAACTACATTTAACAGTCAACATTTCTGGATAGAACAGTGATAAAAAAAAAACTCATTGAGTTTTGTTTAATGCATTCAAAAAGATTTTTTTTTTTAAGCAGATAAATTAATGTTACTGTTCATATATCTGACTGCTTGTATTAAAGGACAAGATTGTATTACAAATAATATATAAATGTATTTAAAAATTAGTAGATTAACACCTCTAATATTTATATACTGTAAGCATGTCAATTTATCTAACCATTCCAGATTGAAAAGTAATGTCTATTACTTTAAATCTAAAGTATTTTAAGCCCATTGATGTGAAAAATGTTTTTGCAGAACCTTGGCCAACCCATTCAAGACAGATACAGAGAGTTTGAGGAGAGACCCAAAGCTTTTGAAGAGCTGGGCAGACAGTTGCAGCAATACATGAAGATTGTTGAGGCCTACAAAACCAAGGTGAAGTAAACGCATCACAAAAGGTACAAAGTTGCTCTTGATAAGCACACAGTGGCTTCACGTGGCTTTCTAAATTTTAGGAAGAGCAGTATGATCATCTGGAGGAGGCAGAAATTCAGAAGGTGGACAAGATGGTGAATGATGTCATGATCTGGATGAACAGTAAAATGAACCAGCAGAGTAAACAGAGTCTTGCCATCGAGCCAGTGGTGAAAACGACAGAGATCCAGGCCAAAACACGGGTTAGTGACTGTTACATTAAGCACATAAGGGTTATATTGTGGTGTTGGCCTGAAACGAATTAATAGAAGCGATTAATAATCAGGAATGAAAATAATCAAAAACATTTGATTACCAATTACTGTGTTTGTACATAAAAAACACTTTACAGTAAATAATTACTTATTTCTTAGAGCTGTGGTAGAAAAAAACATTTGAAAAATCAATTCTTCTTTCAAAATGTATCTCTAATCTCTCATGAATTGATTCTCAAGTGTTTTAAACAGCAGATGGCGCTGTATGCTTCACAAACAACCATATTCAATGGGGTCCAATGGGGTATATGCAGACAGACTTTTAATTTCAGTCAGCCAGCCCCAGGGCTTTCAGTGAATTGTCATCCCTTACAAAATCACTGCATTTAAGATCGGATTTCTTTGAAAAACAGCAATCTTCACTGACTAGATAAGATATGTTTTAAAGTCGGTCTCAGCTTTAACAATCAAATAGATGCTTAAGTCTTTTTAACTGATTAGTAGCTGTGCATGCATATATATATATATATATATATATATATATATATATATATATATATATATATATATGTATATATATATATATATATATATATATATAGAATTTATAGCTAATTCTGTTTTAACCTTAAATAATCTTTAATAAAGATATGACAAATTTGTCAGTGAATTACAAGAGTGTTTGTAGTGTTTACATTGATCATTACATAAAAGCCAACTTGTATGAATCTGCTGAACGCACAAGCACTCTTCCTCTTGAACAGTTGGGAAACTAGCATAGATCGCCATCTGCTGTTAAATGTTTGGAAGTGATTTAAAGGTCCCATATTTTTTTAGATATTAGTATCAGTATTGTTAGTTTAAGATCTCTATTAGCTAGTGTGCTCCAAAACAGTGTCAAAATAGCGTTTGGATATATAAAACTGATGTAAACTTGTAAAGCTTGTAGTTTGTCACCTCATACTTTAGTCTCTCATCAAATCATAACCAATCAAATGCTCTCTAGTATCTGACATGCTCCGCCCCCTTCAAGACGTTTCCCATTTGCTTTTCATTTGATGCACTTGAGGTAAACCGCTCTTATTGGCATTGCAGTGATAAAAAGCACTATTGGCTGTTTTTTAAAAAGGTTGAGGAGGATGTCTCGCCCTCTCTTCGTGTTTTGGTTGAGATTACATCAAACATCTAATAAACATGCATATTGCAAAGCATTTCACAGGACTTTGAAGAGAGGCAAGCAATGCAAATCTCAGAATCGACTTCTTTTATAACTACAGCTTCAGCTGCTGTAGCTCATCTGCTTCAAGGTTTTGTGTTCAGAGATGTGCTCTTCGGCAGACCCCAGTTGTGATAAGATCAAAAGACATTTTCACGTTTTCTCTTTTTCTGACCTTTCTTTGTAAACCCTAGAGACGGTTGTGCATCAAAAGCTCTGTGGATCATCAAGCACCACCAACCATGTCACATGCAAAGTCACATAAAGGACTAGTTCTTCCAGGAATTAAAAATTACAGATAGTTTACCCTCAGGCCACTGAAGATGACTATTTTTTTTTGTCTTCAGTAGAACATTAAAGAAGATTCAAAGAAGAGTCTTTAGTGACTAGTAAAATGCAAGTCAATGGTCTAAATTAACAAGTTCAAATCAATCCCAGAGGCTTCTGATTATACACCGAGCTCTTGTGTAGTCAAACAGTCAATCTGTGCTAGAAATTGGACATTATTTAAAGGGTTATTAGCTGTAATCCACTGCCTGAGCGAATGATTGTGTAGACGTGAGGTGACGAGTGTGGATGCACTATTTTTTTTTTGGTCCTTACCTGTGATTGTTTAATATGCAGAAATGATGACTCCATTCTGTTAAATGAATTTGCATCTGAGTGCACATTCGTGTATACATCATCAAGTTACAGGAAGCTCATGCTTTTATGTGCACAGCAAGAACTGTTTGCCCAGGCTGTGGATTAAAGCTAATAATATCCTAAATAATGCCAATTTTCATTATTGGGTGAACCTGCCCCTTTTAAAGGTGGTAACTTGTGTTGAACTTACCTTTATTTATTTAAGATTTGTTTATGGGTAAAACAAAGACAATGCAGGTCAGGTAGTTGAAACAGTAGGCATGCACTCCGGTGCTCGCGGCGACCCGAGTTCGATTCCGCCTCACGATCCTGTGCCGATCCTTCCCCTCTCTCTGCTCCCCGTGCTTTCCTGTTGATTCTCTCTGCTGTCTTATCGAATAAAGGTGAAAACCCCTAAAAAAATTATAAATAAAATAAAAATAAATAATTAATCTTGCCTACATCTAACGACTCTTCTGCCTTTTAAATTTATCAGGTAATGTGTCACAGTGTCAGTACACTGCTTCAGTTTTTCGCTTTCACACTTGTACTTATTAATTTTAGTGAAAACATCAGATGCTGTTGGTTGGATCTTGTTGGTTGTGCACCTTTTTTACTGACCAAGGTTGTCGACGCCACTATAACGACACAGATCACTCTGCCTATTCATGCCAAAACCTCTGAAAAAGTGATTGACAGGTGGTAATTTGTGTTTAACTTATCTGTATTTATTTAGGATTTGTTTATGGGTAAAACAAAGATCATGCAGGTCAGGTAGTTGAAACGGTAGGCTACAAATAATTAATTTGTTTTGAATAATTAATTATTCATAATTAATTTGCCTCCGCCTGTGCTGACGATGCCTTCATCCATCAGGATGTGTCACATTAGACATTGTACGATGCCAGATTGTTCGACATCGCCCAACCCTAGTTTCCACACATTGTTATTGGCTGATTAGATAGCAGTGTGCATTTTGCTACATAAATTTATTTCAACATTTTCCACAGGAGCTGTTTTCTACTTGCAATCCAGTCGTGACCAAACCCAAGCCCAAAGTGGACTTGCCAAAAGAAGAGAACCCATCAGAACCCAACGGGCCCGTCAACACACAGGAAAACCCTGAAGCTCAGCCCGGCGGCACAGAACCAGCTGCTGCAGACAGTGCAGGAAACACAGAAAACAAGCCTGACATGGACCTTGATTAAACACGCTGTGTAATGTTATGTTAACGTTACACGTTATGTTATGTAACATAATGTTTTGTTAATGTTAACTTATGTTTCCAGTGACTAGAATGCTAAATCATCATCATCATCCTCCTCAAAACAGGGAGACTCTAACAGTGAGCGATTCAGTGGCTACATTTGCATGTCGTTTTATATTAAGAAAATCATAAGTCATAATGCTGTAAGACTTCTGATTGAGAACAATTCTGTCTGCCTACAATTGAGTTTCTGTCATATGCCGGTTCTGTCAGCTGTTGTTTCAATAAATATGGATTGAAACGTGTGCAAATTTATGTTGAGGTTATTTAGTGTAATGCAAAGGAGTCTATATTTGTTTTGTTCAGGTTGCTTTACCGTTTGGTTTAAGGATGAATTTACATGTGATTAAATTTACTAGTAATATTCAAATTATAGGACAGAACGGGAAACGTTACAAGGGAATAAAGAACTTTTTTTAGTATGCAAATTATCTTATTTATGAAAAATTTGCAATGCTATGGCTGCTAATTGCATCAATATTATTTATTTTACATTCATTATCCTATATTTAAATCCACACATCTCAGGTCCAGTTTACTTTTTGGAGTGAACAGACGTCTTTTAATCATCTGGTTTTGTCAGTTTTCAAATTTATTGTTGCAGTTATCATTAATATTAGAAAAAGTACACACAAATAATTTACTTAAATTATAATATCAACTTTTAACAGGACCTTTCTTTCTAATAACTGATTTATTTTTATCTTTGGCATGATGACAATACATTATTTTTTATTAGATGTTTTAAGATAGTTGAATTCAGCTTATTGTGACATTTAAAGGCTTAACTAAGTTAACTGGGTAACCTGGCAGTTTAGGGTAATAAGGCAACTCGTATAACCACATAGCAGTTTGTTCTCTAGACAATCAAAACAAATATATAGCTTAAAGGGGCTAATATTTTTTACCTTAAAAACTGCTTTTATTCTCGCCTAAATAAAGCAAACAAGACTTTCTCCTGGGGAAAAATAATATCAAAAATTCTGTGAAAATTTCCCTACTCTGTATTACACAAATATTTGGGAAATATTTAAAAGAGAAAAACTGGGCTAATAATTCTGACTTTAACTGTTTATTTATTATTAATATATAATTGCTTAAATCACTTTTAACCCAAACCAAATAGCTTTGTTTGTTCATTAATTGATCGACTTTATTAGCTAATGGATAATAAATAAAATTATAAATTGGGCGATTATATTTCCAAATCCTCCTCCAAAAAAAAAATGCATTTTTGCGTCGAATTGTTTTTTCCACTGAGAGCCACTCAAATCCTGAGGTGAGATGTGCAAACTCTGCTACATTTCCTCACAGTCACATGATCGTGTTCCTCTGCGGCGCTGGAGGAGTTCTGCTACTTACAAACAACTGGTAAGTGTTTTGCTAACTCAATATGACAACCTCCAACTAGCGTCTTTTAATATCTAATATAAATTCCAGAGTCATCGTTGGTTAACTAATACATAGTCTTTATTGTTCACTAGTGAGACTAAATGCACGTTGCTCTGTCTAAAAGAAGGTGAAGTATAAACACTACTTAGCGACGCGACAAAACAGCCTTTAATAATGTGTCGCGTCGCGCTAAACAAAGTCTCCACGGTTGACTCTATAGTGTCAGTGAAGTATACCTACGGCTGCACTTCCGTCTTAATTTAACGATAATAGGGTCTAAAGTCTAAAGAAGGCAGGACTGTAACAAACACTGGGTTTCCAGGTCAATTTACCTAATCGTTTCTCTTAGACTCAGATGAAGCCATGAAGCTCATAATCCTCAATGACTACGACCAAGTCAGCGAATGGGCTGCCAAGTACATCAGGAACAGAATAAGGAAGTTTAATCCAGGTCCTGAGCGGTTCTTCACTCTGGGTCTTCCAACAGGTAGAGTCAAAACAAACTCATGCTGTGTACTATGCAAACGCATTGAACTGTGTTAAGGTATACTGTATTTGAATTGTGTTTGTATTACAGGAAGCACTCCACTTGGATGCTACAAGAAACTGATCGAGTACCACAAGAAGGGAGAAATATCTTTTCAGTATGTGAAAACGTTTAATATGGATGAGTATGTAGGTATGTGAGCAGACATTTATGCTTGGGGATCAAGGGTTGAACTGCCTGTCATATATTTAGTTGTAACACTGAACCAAAGTGTAAGTGGTTATTGTCTTTTACAGGACTTCCCAGAGACCATCCTGAAAGTTATCATTCATTCATGTGGAATAACTTCTTCAAGCACATCGACATTCGAGCAGAAAACGCTCACATCCTGGATGGCAACGCACCCAATCTAGAGAAGGAATGTCAGGACTTTGAAGCCAAAATCAAAGCCGCAGGAGGAATTGAGCTCTTTGTTGGCGGTAAGACATAAGATTGAACTTTGTCCTTTGCATGGTATGTGAATGAACTTTGTCTTGTGCTCACATTGCAGGGATTGGACCTGATGGTCACATTGCATTCAATGAGCCTGGTTCCAGTCTTGTGTCTCGAACGCGTGTTAAGACCCTGGCTATGGACACAATTCTGGCTAATGCACGTTTCTTTGATGGAGATCTCTCTAAGGTGCCCACCATGGCCCTCACAGTTGGCGTTGGCACTGTGATGGATGCTAGAGAGGTATAAGTATGAATATTTCTATATGTTTGGCCACACACAGCTAAATTAGGTTGTTACATGACCTTTCCAATTAATTATCTTCTGGAACATGCTGGAGTATTGACAACTGCATTTACCAAAGCTCTGCAAGTTGTTGCTCTCATCTCTATGGACTGCAAAAAAAACATTGGTACATCTTGCAGGATCTTGCAGGGTTCCCACGCTTCTTAAAAGTACTTGCATTTCAGACATATGGATTCAAGGTCTGGAAAGTACTTAAAAACAAACATAGGTCCTTGAAAGTGCTTGAATTAAATTTAAAACTAAATTTGTTCATGGTTTTTTTCAACAATTTTACTCAATTGTAAAAACGGACAAATTAAACATCTAAAATTTAAATCTTGAAGATGATTATGATGATGATGATGAGCTTTTATTTGTCACAACACTGTTACATGCAACAAAATTTTACCCCTCTACCATACACAAACATCATACATTTCAGGGAAAGAAAGGTCTGTCGAGAGGTAGCATAGAAAAATATATATAATAAGATATATAAGATCATAAATTAATTAATTAATTAAATATATTAACCCCTACCAGACTGTCTTAAAAGTAAAGCAGTGTGAGATTAGGAATGAATGAATGAATGAATATCACCAGTATTGAATACATCAAATTTGATCAAAATTCTTTAAAGATGACTTTTTAAAACGGTCAAAAAAATTTTACGTCTTAAGGTAAATTTGAAGTGTAACAATAAACTAATAGTACCAACAGTAATAGTACAGTCAGGACTTTTATAGCGCTACATATGCTGAGGTATGAATAACAAAGGTGCCTGATTTAAAATTAATGGGGCTTTCAAAGGTACTTGAAAGTCATTGAATCTACAGTTTTAGAAAGGGTGGGAATCCTTATCTTGAATCATAAGTGTTGCCAGATATTGCTAGTAAAAAAAAAACAATATAAGTGAAAGACCAAAATAAACTTAAAGCAACACTTCTTTTGTAAATAAACTCATCTTACAAGTCACCTAGAGTTCAACAGTTTTAGCATTTTTGAATTCATTCAAGTAATCTCTGGTGGGAGCACTTTGACAGTTTTTTCACTCCTGTAGATCAATATTTTTGTTCCGAAACAGGGATTAAAATTGATAAAATTGTTTATTTTTGTCATTGGTCTTGCTTTCACAATGCAATGTTTCTAAATGGACCAAAATAGCTAAAACAATTCACGAGCGAGTAAACTCTCCTCACATTGGCCAGAGTTTTAGGGATTATTTTCAGAGTGCCACAGATTCTGCTTAGCTGTCACGTCGTTTTTTTAGTTTATGATGATAAGCAATAAGACATAAGTGAAAAGGAAAACTTTAGTTTTGACACCCTCAGACATCGTCACCAAATATAAATCAGAGAGGTCAAACTTTCTCATACATGGCCTCATTTCAGTTGTCAAGTTTTGTAAAAATCTATCTATTGAATTAATCAATCTATTTAAAAAACATTGGCTAGAATTCTGCATTTTAGGCTTAAATTGTAGAGAGAAATAACAGATGAGCCGAGACTGCAGTCAGATCATGAAGCAGATCAATGCTGATCTTTCTTTCGAGGTGTCAGTGCAGCGTTTCAATTGAGCCAAGACCACCTCATGCAAGCAATCTCAGACCGATTGTTTTGACACAGATCCGAGCACAATTGCTGGATTCACATATGCATAATGAATCCTGCTAACTGGGCAAACGAGACCGGTTTCGCAACAACTGTCAAGGTGTGAAAGCACCCTTAGATTAATTTATCTTAGCTTAAATAACTGAATCAGATTAGACCATTAGCATCTCACTGAAAAAAATGTAAAAAGAGTTTTGTTAAAGTTAGTTATTGTCCTTGATTATTTTGCCAGAATGAGAATTTAAATAGGAAAATTCTAAAAACTCTTTTGTTTTATTAAGTGAGTGAAATGCTAATGGTCTAATCGGATTCAATGCTTTATGCTAAGCTAAGCTGAAAGTGCTATAAAAGAGCCTATTTCCAAACAAAAGTGGAATTTTCCTTTAAAGCCAAAATTTAGCTTTTGAAGAAAATCAGCCACATACCAAATATTGCGACCTGCACTTGCTTACTTTATGAAATGGATACTTGAAGAAAATACTTACTTTTTGCTTTAATAAATGAAGCAAAAAACGCTTTATAACTATTGCTTATAATAAGTGGACAAACTTCTAAACATAAACATAACACAATGCCTGTTTTATCCACCTTATACAGCTGTTTGTATCTTTTTGGCTCGGGATTTCTGGTCTCATTTACTTCCATTTATTCATAGATGTTAAAAACAGCTCTTTTTGCTTCTTGATGTTGCAAACTGATATTTTCTTATTTTCTTATTCTATTTTGTCTGTATAGTCATGCAAACACTTGTTTGTAAAGCTGGTAATGTGACCGCTTTCTGCCGTTTATTGTTCCTTGTTATTTCTCCTAAAGGCGACTAAATCGGAAGTTCTAAAACAATCGCTAAAACGAGCGCACTTCCTCATTGAAGAATAAGGTCAATAGGGTTTACCTAAAATAGTCTTTTTCAATGCACGAATTTGGCCAAAAACTGTGCAGGATGCTAATGTTACGTTGTTTACCATTTTGTTAATCTCGT